TGCGAACTCCGCGCTAACTCACGCGCCGGCAGAGAAGCGTGCCTGTTTGCGCAGCCTCTTCGCGTGGCTCCCTGGGGGGCTGGGCAAAGTAGGGGCCTGGGCGGGGCTTGACCCGGCCCGGCTCCACTCAGCCGCCTCCTCCCACACACACACTAAGGGGTTAGCCCCCTCTCTCCACGGGCCCCGCTTACCCCGGCTGTGCTGGGGGTCGGTGGGGGGCTCCGCGGCTGCTCCCCACCCTTCTCGCGCCCCTTCCGAGCCTAACTGAGTTAGGCTCGGAATTCGACCTTGAAGTCCTTCAGGTCGAATTCCAGTCTGGAGTGCTTCAATGCCATGCAGACATAAAGGCCACGTACAGACTCGTACCAGTATAAGTGATTGGAAACCAGCCTGTACCTGTAACAGAACAGAAGTTTGGTGCACACAGACTAAGAGATCATACTGGGCTTAGAAAATCCACTGGCTTCTGAAAAATGGGAATCCTCACCTAGAGAGGGAGTGGCTGATGCTGTCACTGTTTGCTAACTATAATTTTATTTCAGTTAATTTACAAAGGCTAGAATTATTCTGATAACTTTCCAGATGTCACCTGATTATGGTGATTTGATGTGTTTGTTTTGAGTTCCCCTATAGCCTGTAGTTCTGCGGAACAGCTTAAAAGCTATAGTTTTCCTTGACAGTGTATCAAGATTTTGTGGCTGCTTCTGCATGATACTTCTGAACATTCGCAGGAGAGTTATTCATAGGAATGGCTGATCCAAAAATGGAGGCTGAATTCCCTTCTGTGCTTCACAGCAGGCAGGGGGGTGGTAGAGCTGCATACTACAGACACTATAACACCTTAGAAGGGTCTCGGGGGTTTGGATAGAGAGAGTGGTTTACCTTTTCCAGCTAGTATGGGAGGGGTTGCATAATGTAGGGCTCAAATAAAAATAAAGCTTGTACACGAGATGGAGACAAGGACAGCCCCTTCCCAGTTGCTAGCAGGCAGGCTGGTTTCCAAGTGACAGCATATCCCTGAATCTCACTTTTGGGCTCCCTGCTGTTGCATGTTTACTTCTGATTGACAGATCTAGTTCCTCTGTTAGCATATGTATGAAATATTTTTCAAGTCAAAGCTCAGCTGTCCTCATAAACCAGAAAGCATTTCTAGTGTGGATGTGTTTTCTGTTACCAGTGCTACACTTGTGCTGACATAGCTATTGTTTCCCCTGAATGAAACAAGCTGTACCACCAAAAGATCAGCTTTGCAGGTATGAGCTGTGCCCACACTACCAAGCTTTTGTTGGTACAGCTGCATCAGTCATAAATTGCACCTCATCACAGTTTTGACTGACAGCTGTGCCAGCAAAAGCTTGGTAGTGTAGACCTAGATCTAGCATAGTCCTGTTTTGTACATAGTACCCATACTGTCCTTGCTTTGAGTTTCTAATAATACCTTCACTGAGCTGTTTTTGCCCAAGGCTCTTCAAGTCCTTGCCTAGTGTTTTGTTTTACTATATATTCAGAAATGTGCTGGGCATTCTGAAGAAAAAAGACCCAGTTCTTTCACTGAAGAGTTTGCAATTTAAGTAGACATGACATAGCAAGGGGAGTGCAGATTGGTTTATGCATCTTAAATCTGACAACAATCCGGAGAGGATTCATGTTGCACTATTTGTAGTAGCTTGATCTTTTGCATTCAGTGAATTTTGGCTAATCATTGATTTATTTACACTAATATATCTTTGAATTTATGTTCCCTTTGTGGCACTCGAATTAATACATAGAGTATCATAGATAATAATGCTATACGGTAAGTACAGCTTGATAGTTTACACTTGTTAGTCATCCATCAGCAGTAGTGTAATGGGGGAGTGAGCATGGTACCAGCCTGGGTACTGGCTGTTGAGAGGGCGCCCCTCCCCCCTGAGTTCTTGCCATAGCTGGAGAAGCTTTATGCTGTCCAGCCATAGGAACTGGGCAGGTGCAGCCTTGCACCCAGCAACATATCTGGGGTAGGAGGGGAGCGAATAGGGCACCAGGGATGGCTCATAGGGATTCCACTACACAGCAGTAGAAAAAGCTGCCTTCACTGTACCAAGAGCTGAGGCAGATAAGACATAGGGAGACGATCTCTTCCTTCTCTTATCCCTGCCTGTCTCCAGTGGTCGGCAGACTTCCTCCCTGGGCACCGAATGAGCTCTCTATGCCTCTGCCCATCAGTCAAAGCATACAAAGGGCTGCCTAGGGCTATGTGGCAGATCAGGCTAGGCATGCCAGTTTTTGCAGTCAGTGGCACACAAGTGGCCAACATTACAATGAGCCACTTTTGACTCCCAGACCTAAATGACTAGCATCAACTGGTGATTGTCCTTGGTGCACATCTGGAATGAGGGTTAAACTTGTACGTTTGGATCTGTGGCCTTAACTGCTCTCCTGCCATGCTCCATGCTCATCAGTAGTTGGTTTCAAAGTAAGCTGAAACATAAGCGATAAAAAAAACTTGCAAATCAGGTCCTTAAAATGTGCTAGTAACATTCGAGAACTTGCGTGATTCTGTAATGTGCAGCAAGTGTAACTTTTTCATCTCAAATGCTGAACAACCTATAGTGTAGGGCATGTGATATTGCTTGTAGCACAACAGTGACTACTGGGCCTGTGGGAATAGGGAAGTATTCGATTTGGATTTGGATTCAGCCGATTTGGTGGACAGTGATTCGATTCAGTGATTCGAATCACTGTCCCCATTCAATTCAGCCGAATCAGAATCAGAGATTCAGCGCTAATTCAGATATTCGGACTGGCTGGGGAAAGGCAGGCATGGCCGGGTGGCTGCAGGTTCTCCTGCAGCTCCTCCAGGTGTGCCTGCCTCTTTCCGG